GGACGCGACGACGCACTAAAATCGATAGTCTCGAGACAGTAGGATAATATTGTGTTCAGTGATCACATCATCATCACATCAACATCAAATATTCCTTGATGTCGTCGAAAACCGCAACATGACATGGGTGAGTTATCTAACCGCCGTCCGAGCAAAGGAGTGGACCCCAGCTCTGACGGCTAACTCGTATCGTTCGATGTTCTGGGCGGTGAGAACCATCCAGGGATGCGGGTGTACGGTGTGTACGCGGTGTGGAGGGGTGTGCGGCGCGCCCGTTTGCGGACTCGCTGCGTCCCATCCGTTGTTGTCCTAACTGCGTTTGTAACACTTGGTGATTGTGTAGTGTTGGAGTGTGACTGACCGGCGACATTACGGTCGTCGGAATCTAGCGGAACCGGAAGTTCGAACAGAACGTTGCAGGGCCTCCGAAGGGTTAGCGTAACGTTCGGAGTCGGAGCGTTGGTAGCTGCGTTTACCACTAGCGGGTTGGGATGTGTCTCAACCCTTTCGAAGTTGCGCCGAGACATATCCTTGAAGTATTCAGATATCATGGGAAGTTGACAGTCTCTGTGTAGGTCGGAGTTTCGCTGGTGGCACCGAGCTCCGGTCTCTATTCAAATGAATCTATTTTGAACGACTTGGTGGTCGTACAAATGAGTATGGCTTGCGTGCACAAACTACTACGATGGCTATCCGTGTACAGAACAAGAGTACTGATGAACAAGAGTGCAATGCTTTGCCAGAAGTGTTCACTACTGTTGCTGTGAGCACCACGCGACCAACCACAGGAATAGTTTTTTTTATATAGGATAAGGGTGACAAACGAGCATACAGTCCACCTGATGGTAAGTGGTTGCTGCGGCCCATAGACATCTACATCTATCCTCTATTACAAATCAAAATGCAGATGCGTTGTCACCCGTGAGGGCTAAGATGGAATGCCTCATTTCCAGTAAAAAGGGCCTCCGGCCACCTGCACTCACCAAGCGAAACGCAGAAGTAAACCTCTACTTCACGCTGGTATTCTGTGAGGTCGTGGTACCACCCCGGTTCGAGCCGGCCCATCCGTGCGACAGCTAAAACTGCCGCGTGGCTCTACCACTGTTTAATAGTTAAATGGTTAGAGGCACACTGAACCTTGTCGTAAAATTGTAGAAGTCACGTTTAATTATGTCAACGCTGCGTCCCCTCGTGCTCTAATCCAAAGTCCCATAAACTTTCGGCTCGTGTTACAAAACTGTTTTCAGTGCCTAGAAGACTGAAATGCAGTGAACGATATGAATGACAAGCTCGTGGAAACTGTCCATGCAGTCGGAGCTAAGTTCTGCAAGACCTGTCGCAGTAGACCACAAAAACTCTCTGATCACACTCTTAATCTCTCAGCTGTTAGACAGGAAATGAAGCTACAGTCTTCAGCAGATTTAACAACATACAGGCAATTTAACAGACAGATCTCCAAATGCAAGCGACAAAACTTATGCAACTTTAACACAGCTCGCTGAAGGCAGCGGTGCCAAATAGACTGTCGGTATATCGAAGTGCTGATGTGTTTATACAGTAGGGCTACGATGGCCATCCGTGTACAGAACAAGAGTACGAAACCCATCCAACTGCAGAGACAGAGTGACGTTATATCCCCAAAACTCTTCACCGCTGCATTGGAAGACGTTTTCAAGCTCTGTTGGACTGAAAATGATACGATATTAACATCAATGGCGAATACATCACTCACCTTCGATTTGGCGACGATATAGTCCTTGACATTGTCTGTTGCAGAATCTCTGGAGTACCCAACGAATAGGTCTTAAGATGAACATGGACAAAACAAAGATCATGTGTAACGTCCATGCCGGTAGTTGTTGGGAGCACTAAGCTCAAAGTTGTTGACGGGTATGTTTACCTGGGATAAATAGACCGACCAGGTAAGTCCAAGAGGTTAATTAATCGACGAATTCAACTCGGCTGGGCAGCGTTCGGGAAATTATGACACATCTTCTCATCAAGTATCCCTCAAACCTTGAAAACAAGTTGTACAACCAGTGCGGGTTGCCAGTGATGACTTATGGATCCGAGACGTGGTCTTTCACTGCTGGCTGCATGAAGAAGCTCAAGATCGCTCAGTTTCTCTGCGTGATGAACTTAGAAATGAGGATATCCGCAGTAGAATCAGAGGGACCTACATAGCCCAACGGATTAATTAGTAAGCTGAAGTGACAATGGGCCGGTCATATAGCTCGAAGAGCCGACAACCGATGGGGAAGAAAGGTTCGCGAGTGGCAGCCTACGAGGCTAGGCGAAGTGTAGGGCAACACCCCACTAGATGCATTGACGACCTGGTAAGACATGCGGGAAGTCGATGGAAGCAGGTGGCTCAGGACTGTGCTTTGTAGCATTCCTTGGGGGAGGCCTATGTTCAGCAGTGGAGTTGTGAAGGGCTGTAATAATGATGATAAATGTCTTCTAGTCCGAATTCCGGTTACGGCAGCCAGTCCCAACGGAGACTGGTCATGTGAGTGCTTATCCTTGCAAAGGTGCTCTTATAGTTCATGGGACGACACGACCGGAAAGAGATCACGGGTTTGAAACACCAGCAACTTCCTAACTCTAGGCTGATACTGCAAATTTATAGACAAAAAACTTAATTTTTTGACAGAAGAAGAGATTCGTATCCGGGAATAAGGATTTTTACGTCACTGTTCAACTGCAAAATTGTAGGAATAGTCTACCTCTGAAATAATTCATGGTGTCATTTTTACAGTAAATTTTCTGAATCAGTTCTCAATCGAAAATAAAATCTCTTTATTTCGACCAACAGAGATCATAATAAACAGTTAGTTTATTGAAGTGATAAATTTATTCATACAAAATTTTAATGAAATGTACAAATAGTTGATTTCTAGATAATTTTGTTTGTTAATATTTACATAAACAATACAACAATGGTTCGAAACGAATCGACTATCACAGCACCTAGCTGTGATAGTCGATTCGTTTCGAGTATTTGAGCACATTAGTAGGATACCATTGGCACTGGATCGGATTCTGCGCACCAAGGAGGCACGTAAAAGCAATTCATTTACATCTACGCCCGAACATCACCGATACACTGTTGAACCGAAGCAGCCCTTTCAGCACTCACAATATATTGCACTATACTGATTTTTAGAGTGATTTATTCAGAGGCTGCTTGTGTAGAAGTATGCGCAGCAATCTCTGAACAGAGATATCTTAACTTCAGTTCTGCAAAGCCGAAATATTTGGTTTTCATGTTAGCTCTCACCGATAACGACCTGTGCTCCTTTTCAATGTCTGTATTTTCCTTCAGCAGGGCTAGCATGGACAGGAGACAATTTTATCCCCGGGGAAAGGAGAAAATGTTTATCCCCTCGCTTAGTTTTATCCACCCTTCGAGCATGGGCACACCGGTGGATATAATATTCACAGTAGATAAAATGGGAGATAGACTTAGATAGATTTTTGTATGAATATAAACTTACATCCATGGCCAATGAACTAGGATAGAATTGTCCCTTTCAAATGTCAAAAAAGCATAATTTTTTATCTTTCATTAGGCTCCTTGCTACGGACGGGGGATATATGTCTACTCGTTATGTCAAAGGGGATATGCTTCTCCCCGTTGCCGTGTTTTGGCATAGGGAGAAGATAATTTTATCTTTTGTCAGTGGATATAATTGGGGGATTAAATTTTTGTCTCCAGCCCATGCTAGTGCAGTTACCAAATTTCCAAGATACTTTAACTGTTCCACTATCTTTAAAAGGTTTCCATTCGATTTTAAAGGTAGAACACTAGGTGAACATTTGTTAATGTCCTCAAAGACCATACATTTTGCCATTGTTTCGAAACTATGTGCAAATACGTACAAATAAATAAAATTAAAACGTATGTCTGTAATATCGAAACAACTGATTTCTACGAAGCTCAATCCCGTGTAGTGGCGGTATAAGAATATCCACAACTCCATACCGTCCTGTGGGGGTCGTAAGAGACGACAGAGGGAAATAAAGTAGGAGATGGACAGCAGCATCTTCCTGATGAGTGATGACATGATATGATATCATTGATATTAGGTAATCTATGGGGAGGCCTATGTTCAGCAATGGCCTTAAGCAATAATGGATGAATGTATTAAGCTCAGCACAGCTAACATAGGCTGGGGACAAAAAAATTATCCCCTGATTATATCCACTGACTGAGATAAAATTATCTTGTCCTTATGTCAAAGCACGGAAAGGGGAGAAGTATATCCCCGTTTGACATAACGAGTAGACATATACCCTCCGTTCGTAGCATGCAGCCAAATGAAAGATAAAAAATATGCTTTTTGACATTAGATATTAAAAGGGACAATTTTATCCTAGTTCATTGGACGTGGTTTTAACTTTAAGTTTATATTCATACAAAAAAATATTTCTAATTCTAATTCTATTCCCCATTTTATCTACTGTGGATATTATATCCACCGGGGTGTACCCATGCTCGAAGGGTGGATAAAACTAAGCGAGGAGATAAACATTTTCTTCTTTCCCCGGGGATAAAATTGTCTCCTGTTCTTGCTAGCTGCTAGGGTTACTTGCATACTATGAATAAGCATATTTAAACGTTTGTCTGTCTTGACTGTCTGTCTGTGCGGGCTCATGTTCAGAATCTTTTATTTCAAATAATTTCCCATATCGTATATAATTTTTGAGATAATTATAAACCTTATTTTAAAGTATTTTTTTTTTTTGATAATTGAACTACTTGCCCAAAGACCACTAATACAGATTGCAGGTTTTTTTGTTTAAGTTCCACGCGGACGAAGTCGCGGATAAAAACTAATTATATCTTATCGGCTAACATCTAATGTAACACATTGAAACCATTGAATTGTCGCAGCCGCTCCACAGTTTTAACTAACCAGTTAGCCAGTTACGGCGTGTACCAATGCTAATCAGTAATCGCATTTAGTACTAGATTTTTGCGTTAGCGCATTGAGTTTAGTCGCCGTTCGACTCTGAGTATAAACCGTCGTCTGAGCAAAATGGTGAGGTGAGCTACGTAACGAATACTATTTTTTTCTTTTTAATAAATGTGCTTTCTAGTGACAGTGTTTCGTAGTGTTAAGCCGTATGTTGCTCATTTTTATCAAATTATAGGACCGGTTTTCAAGTAAGTTAATGCGTGTTAGTATCATTTAATCACTTTCGCAGTTATATACTATTATATACTATTTGATGTTACCATGGAACGCAATTGTGATCAATGATTATAATATGGAGTGCACGTTTGCTTCTATATTATTACGTATACTATTCATCCGTCATTAACAACAGCCATAGCAGTGGACTTACCATTGCTGAACATGACATGCCTTCTCATTCAAGAATACGATAGCTTGCATGCATTACATGACAAAATTTTCAATACGTAAATATAGGAAATTTATTGATTTTAATTTGTTGTCTCATTAATTTTTTTTATGAAAATGTTATTTATTAACTTACATGTTTTACTATGACATAAAAAAGATTAAAAAATCTTTATGTCACTAATCGTATTAAACTATTTAGTATTTAGGTCCCTACTTACTACTTACTTAATATTATTTTTAATAAAAGGAGCAATAAATTATAAGTGTAGAAATTATTCATTTTTAAAATTACAGAGTTAGAAAGTTTATTTGTAAGTATTTTTTATAATAAATAAAATTATTTATATAATTATTTAATGAATTTATTCGTTTGTTACTTTATTTATTATTTTTATATATTAATTTACTTATGTATTTGCGGTATTGTAGGTACTATAACACTAAAATATTGAATTACAGACAAACATGCATACCTGCACAAAATTAATATAAACTAGGTAAATAGGTATATATTTGTGTTCTTAATCGTATTCATATTAACTTTTAAGGGGTAGTGGCGGTGTAAGAATATCCACTAGCCCCTTATTCTGTGGGTGTCGTAAGAGGCGACAGAAGGAAACTGAACAAGGAGATGGGCAGCAGCATCTTCCTTATAACAGCTGAAAGAAAAACTGCGGTTGCCAACCGCTAACCACTATGGCAAATATCCCCCCTATGTGGCAATCTGTGGGGGAGGCCTATGTTCAGCAGTGGACTTTTGATAGACTGTAACGGTAACGGTATGATGTTATTGTAAGTTAAATTTAAGTAAGGGAATTTTTTTTTTATCATCGGATAAAAGTTATCCATCAAATACTTAAATTATAACCTGCCTGAATGTAAAAGCGAAACAATTAAATATTTTTATTCATAAAAACTGTAATTTTAATGCGTATGTTGTTTTCTCTGAGTTATTTTATGAAATGCAATACGAAATAAAAAATCGAATGATTCAAAAATCACCCCTAATGTTAATATTTAATTTTAATATAATTAAAATGTTATTTAAATAATTTTTAGTCAATATAAATTGTAATTCTTATTTAAATTGCTACTAAATAATATGATAAACTTGAGAAAGTGGTTTTAAAAATTAAAAAAGAAAGTTATACTGGTTTCTACGGTCTACTAATATCTTAATGGCTTTCAATATTCTTGTATTAACTTGTGATAAAAACCATAAGCGGATATTTATATGTCGCGTAAATATAAATGTTAAGAAACTATACCGGACAATATCAAGACTGTAATTGAAAACCATAAAGTAGAGTAGTTACTCTACTAGTAGAGTGATACCAAAAATTAAAACCTACAATAGCTTAGCCAAATTTGAGAATTTTTGTGAATATCTGGAGATAAAGGCCGTATATAAGGCTCACTTGCATTGCGCTCTCACATGGATTGCGCTCTCCCAAGAAAAGACGGACGGCGCTGGTGATGATAAGAATGTGTGTGAAAGCTTTCCTGTGGATACTGATAGCGACGAGAGTGGATTTAGTGGGTGCTAGTCTGTCGTAATCCGTTCTTGCCTCCATCATGCGTAGGGATATCAGAATGAAAAAAGAGAGGCATTATTGATACAACTTTTATAGCGTTAGCTACGCCCCTGATTTTCTCTCTCAGGCCTACTGTGTTTTAAGTATTTGTTTAAAGGTAACATATACGTATTACACAGAAGTGAATAGGAAAGAAAGGAAAGGCGGGCTACAACAACGGTAAGTAGAAACAAAGCGAAAGAGTCAACACCATAACATGCGTGTATAACTGACAAAAATGTCAATCCGCCTCTATGTTTTTATGTGGTAGAGCCATGCTGCAGCAATATTAATAGTATAGTTGTAGCACGAATGGGTCGGCTCGACCGGGTAAGAACCACGCTCTCACAGAATACTAGCGTAAAATAGCAGCTTAATGCTGCTGTGTATCGTATGGTGTGTGTAGAGAACCGGAGACCCATTTTACTGGAAAAGAGGCACTCCATCTTCGTCCTCACGGGTGACAACGCATCTGCATTTTAATTCACAAACGAAGATAGATGTAGATGTCTATGGGCCACAGCAACCACTTACCATCAGGTGGACTGTGTGCCCGTTTGTCACCCATATTCTATAAAACTATAAAACATGTAGCTTTACAAAAGATAATATTGAATATATACCACAAGATATTATAACTCCTTAGTTAACATATGAATATTACGCTGGTAGTTCTATTACAATAGACAAATTATCAAGTTTTTGTGAATGATTTTTAGCTCTATAACCTTTATATCTTCAAAATAACATATTAAATTCTTGACAGGTTATAGTTTTATTAATCGAGTTTTCAAGATATGCCACTATTGAGTTTATCATTTTTTATCTTTTTTTGATTACAAATAAATGACGCAGCAGTCAGAGGATCAGCAGTTCTTTTTGTTCGTTTTGTGATAATAACAAGCCCGACCAAAAACTTGTCTTGATCTCATGGCAAACAGTTATGCATGTTATTATCGACGAGGTTGAGGTTTTTTCATTGACATTAGCGATGGGTCCTCTTTCGGCTGACTTGTGTCACGTCAGATCAGGAAAAATGTCTTTACAAGATGTAAAGCCTTATTCAAAAAATTACCAAAATTCATATTGTTTTTTAAAGAATAAACCAGTTGGCATACGTTATTTGATCAAGTTTTTGCAATAATTGTTATGCTTTATGCTCATCGCTTAAGGCGCAGGTTGAGCAAAATGTCGCGCTAGTCGTTATTTGTGATGTTTTTAGGAGCTATCTACTTTTTATTTAAAAGATATATCAACAAATAAAAAACACATTATATTTCTACATAATCTTGATTCCATAAAAGCTATATCCAATTTTTTTTTTAAAGGAATAAATATTAATATAATCTCCTTACAACGAAACCACATAAATGTGAAATTATTATTGATAACATGCATCTCCTCGTAAAGTAAGTATTATTTTATTTTGCGATTTACACCAATGAATAGGCAACTTATTAATGAACATTTCTATAGTAAATTTTTTTTCAAAAGACCAAAATTTGATTTTATTAAGAATTTATTTTAAAACCTGGGCATATTCAATGCTCACGGGCTTGCTGAATCAGTGAGCCCTGAGCTCTTCGACGCGAAGCCCGTGTCGTTAGAGCGTCGACCAGCACATACACTCATGTCGTATTAGTCGATAATAATATTACTTATTAGGTTATTTACAGGTAGTATTATTTGTTTGTTGTGGGTATAATTTTTCGTATTAGTTATACATATATTTGTTGTGTTTTTTACTGCGCGATGAAGCTTTTTGCGTGTATTTTCTTTGAAGTAAATGCAAATAAAAAAATGAAGCACCATTAGCATGTAAGGTTCGAATCCATAATTAACATTTCGACAAATATTATAATTTACACTATAAAAGGCTAATTCAATATTATCAGTATAGTATACAGTTAAAAATAATCCTAATACCCAACCATTATATCTTATTAGGTATAGTACCGCCTCATTGGTCTAGTGGTTGTAGTAGTGCGACTGCTGATCATGAGGTCTCGGGTTCGAATCCCGGGTCTGGCCAAAAAGTCAATTATGAGTTTTTGGCCCGTTTTTGTTTTTATTTATTACTTGTTTTTTCTTCTTTTTCAAAAAATAATTGAGTACATAAGGTGTTCTATACGCCGAATGTCAGAGAGAAAAGCTAGTACATCTTTTGCTAAACTTTAAAATCTAAAACCAATTTTAAAACAGACGAATTGATCATAACTCCCTTAGCTATAAAATAAGTTATGATCTAATTAATGGTATTTATTCCAGTTTATGGCAGCTCTGATTTATATTACGTGGCTGAAATTAGGTACATCTTATTAGGTACGTCAAACCAAATAACAGCCGGGCGGCTGACATTATGCATTCCATACATTTCTTATATTATCTAATTACAGTCCCATTAATTTCCACTAAAAGAAAATAAATAAGTTGTAAATTCAAACAAAAATAACTGCATTACTATGTCTATAGTCATATTCATACAAATCAAAAAGCCTATATATGAGATAATGTAAAGTAAGCATAATTTTACCGGGATCATAACTTGTCAAATAATTAGGAAAATGATCGTTTTTCGTTGCGTACTTGTTTTGATTTTAACACTGTTAGGTTTAAAACTGCGAGGTAATATTTGAATAAATATAGTTTCCTCTAGGTACAAAGAATTTTTTAGATGAAAATATTTGTAGTTAAGACTACTAGAAATCTTATTTATGGAGTAAAAAGGCGAAAAGACTGCAATTAGGGGCATGACTGGTATTAGGGGCTTCTACCCTAATTCGGTAAAAAGTATCTAAGTAGGTATTAATATACCTACTTTTTACTATAAACTAAAAATTTTTTAAACTAAATTTAACTAAAAAAAACTAAAGTGACCATTTATTTTTTAACTCAAAACAGGACATGGGTTTATTTACACTCTAAAAACTATATAACTTTACACAATTAGTGTTCAATATAAAATTATATTCGGTATAGACGGTAATTATTAAATACAACATATTTTTTAATTATTAATTACATTTGTCAGTGGATTAAATTTGCTTTAATAAAGTTGGGGATAATTTTAAATAAGAATAAAATTCTGCTTAAGTTTTTTTATT